TTACATGACCTGCACCCTTTTTTTGGGGGTGCCGAGTTGACCATGTATCTTAGTGCACTTGTATTCATGGCGAGGCGCAGACGCCGTCTGGAGGTGACAGGTTCAATTCCCGGCACGGTAACTATAGCTTTCGATTTTTATGTTGTCTAGTGTGTTCCTCTATCTTTCTACTTCTTTCTATGAGTGCCGTTCACAATACTTTCTGTTACTTGATTAATTCATAATATTTAACGGCTTCAAATGGTTCCCCCCTCTGTTTATTTATAGGAATGACGTATACACACCGGAACCTACCAATCAAATACCTTTCTTAAATGTTTGTGTATTCTAGACAGGGCAATAAGGTCTACTGTGTACGTAAATTGTTGCTGTGATTGTTATTTGACATTTGCCTCGTTAATATAAATTTCTGTAACCTATGGTGCCATTTCAATGGGTTGAAATGAATTCTGTCCGTATTCCATAGTCGTGGATTTCAAGCTGTACGACAGACATGGCCAATGAGACACCTTTTTTTGGGGGTGCCGAGTTGACCATGTATCTTAGTGCACTTGTATTCATGGCGAGGCGCAGACGCCGTCTGGAGGTGACAGGTTCAATTCCCGGCACGGTAACTATAGCTTTCGATTTTTATGTTGTCTAGTGTGTTCCTCTATCTTTCTACTTCTTTCTATGAGTGCCGTTCACAATACTTTCTGTTACTTGATTAATTCATAATATTTAACGGCTTCAAATGGTTCCCCCCTCTGTTTATTTATAGGAATGACGTATACACACCGGAACCTACCAATCAAATACCTTTCTTAAATGTTTGTGTATTCTAGACAGGGCAATAAGGTCTACTGTGTACGTAAATTGTTGCTGTGATTGTTATTTGACATTTGCCTCGTTAATATAAATTTCTGTAACCTATGGTGCCATTTCAATGGGTTGAAATGAATTCTGTCCGTATTCCATAGTCGTGGATTTCAAGCTGTACGACAGACATGGCCAATGAGACACCTTTTTTTGGGGGTGCCGAGTTGACCATGTATCTTAGTGCACTTGTATTCATGGCGAGGCGCAGACGCCGTCTGGAGGTGACAGGTTCAATTCCCGGCACGGTAACTATAGCTTTCGATTTTTATGTTGTCTAGTGTGTTCCTCTATCTTTCTACTTCTTTCTATGAGTGCCGTTCACAATACTTTCTGTTACTTGATTAATTCTATATTACATGAGCAATATCGACACTAGTTTCACTGAAGACTGGAATCTCCGGGAAAGTCACTGATGACAAAAATCAGTTTAATTTTCTCCCTGAGCATGCGGAAAATAAACTGATTAGTTGAATGGACAAAACATTTGGTTGTATGAGTGTTCATCTTTTGTTCTCCCTGTACCCTTTTTCTTCTGGTTTGAGATTTCTTGTCATAAATTGTGTTAAATTATTTTTAGTTATCGTAATATGCTTCTGTATATATCTCCCGGTCATATCAAGCGCCACGACGGATTGGAAAAAATTACAGCAGAAGGCATGGTACCAGGAAGGAGGGGCAGAGGCCGACTGACACGAAGATGGGCACAGGATATAAGTGACTCCTTGAGTGTTAAAGTTCATGAGGCGGGAGAACTGGCAAGAGACCGAGTTTCTTACAGGCAGACTGTGATGAGAGCGACATTCTGCAAAGGACATGCTACATGATGATGATGATATATCTCCGGAGTGGGCAGGGGTAATTTATGAAGAGAGCCTGGTTCGCTTCAGAACCCGAACCCACCAGAGTTTACAGCCGATGAATGCTAAGAAGACAAAAAACTGACGACACACATTGTGAAAGAACTCAAAGGCAGTTATATATAAATTTATTACACTGAACTCACATTACATACATACACACATACTATTCACTTTCTTATTTTTAAACTGACATACACATCACAAGTTAACTTCAATATATCTGTCAATGACAAACATGCCAACAAAACATTTCAAACAAGATTACTTGAAAACTCCAATGCTGAATTACAGATGCAAAAACTATACATCAAATGGCAGAGAAAACCAAATAATTACTTGCGAAAAGCTATAACTACAACTTTGTTTTATTTCAGCTGAACTTTAAGTAAAGACAGTTCACTGAATATGGACGTCTTGAGAGAGATTTACTTAGAAAAAGAACGGAAAGAGAATATCAGAAGAACACATATTTTCGACACATGAGAAGTGGTTAGCTGGAGTAAATTTGAACAATAGGACAGTTAGAAGGGGGAAAAGGCAGGTCAGACCCAGAGAGAGAGAAGGTTAGGTAGTCTGGCACACCTGTTCTCCCCCCCCCCCCAACCCTTTGTTACACTTTTTATAAGTGTTTTAAGTTTAAACCCAGCTGAAATATTTAAATTCTGTTTTATTTCTTTCAACATCTGTATTTCCATGTCCAGTTTCTTCAGAACTTGAAAAAGAGATATCATCAATCAGTAACAGAGATATCATCAATCAGTAACAGAGATATCATCAATCAGTAACAGAGATATCATCAATCAGCAAGTCCTTTACAGGATGTCACTCTCTTCACAGCATGAGTGAAAGTCTCTCTTTCCCTAGCCAATTCTATCCTCAATGTCTTCTATCAAGGATCGCCGAGGTCTGCCTCTGTCTCTTTTTCCGGAAACAGCACCATTCATGACTGTTCTCTCCAGGCCATCATGTTTAACACGGCCAAAATACCCAAGCTTTCAGACAAGGAAGCTGGTGCTGAGCCAGTGCACCTCGCTGTTCAGCTCATGAAGAATGATGATGCTGTTTCTTCTTATTTGGCCAGTTATTTTCAGAATTCCTTCTGTAGCTTTAAAGTTCAAAAGCTTTGATTTGTTTCTGCAATGACTAAGTAAGAGGTCATGACTTGCAGAGGCAGACTGGCCAGAAAACAACAGTTCTACCACAATTGGGCTCTGAACCCAGACGGGTCCAGCAAATCTACAACTTCAATTTCATCCAAGCTAATATTTCAATGTCTGCTGCCCGAGATCCAGGGTGTTTTCTCTTTCACCATTATCTCCCTTTTCCATGTGTTTCAACTCAAAATATGAATGTGCAGGGATGTTCTGTCTAGTAGATAAAGTGAAGAGGCGTAGAAAAGAAAATGCAAGGACAGGTATTGGTAGCTCCCAATATACACACACTACCACTTCTGAGGTTGAGCTCAGGTTTTAGAATGCACCTGACAGATCTCATCTTAGTTCGTCTGATATTAGTGCTAGCTTACCATCTGTCCAGACGATAATGTTCCACCACTGTGCTTTAGGGAAAGATGGAAACCAGGGCATATGACCAGACAAAGTATGGACAAGAAGAAAGTTTCCACTCTCCACAGCACAAACCTTGCGCAGTACTTACTTTACTTAGTCGCTTCTTATCTACCTTGGGGTGTATGTACAGGTTTGCCAGAGAAATCGCCAGACGTCTCTATCAACAGTTTTCTTTCTGGCCTTGTTCCATTCCAGTCCTCTGTCAGTTACGAACTGTCAGATGTTGTCTTCCCAGCGGACCCTTGGTCGCCCTGGAGGTTTGGCTCCCTGGTTCTTAGCCTCCCATGGTGTCCGATCTTCTCCCATTCTGCTGCACAGTACTGACAACACTATCAAGAAGCTGGGTGGGGATTTTTGGGGTGAAATGTTCAGACTGACTGTCTCATACTCTGAATATTTTCCACTCTGTGTAGGTTCCAGATATCAAGTATGGGGAGACAAAGAATAGACCTGCTGGCCCGGCCCCCTGAAAAGCATGTTGTAAAACCTGACTAATTAGAATGTTTTCTAAGAAGTTGGAGTGCATACAAATAAGCCAGATCTGTAAACTGGATTCAAGAAACAAGACTGAAGTCCACAAAAGGGATAACAACCAGGACTTTCGGCCAGAGTTTACAGCGGGTGACAACAAAGAATATTTTTGGACTACATTCCATCCATGGGTCCATCTTTTATGAAGTCCCCTAGAATCATTGCTGGAGTCACAGACTCACAGAGTTAACGCTACGCTCTTGACAGACGGTGAGCCGCTCTGCGGGGAGAAGTTTAGCCATATGGGATTAAACCTGGTGTAATGAAGCTGGTCCCTCCTCCTTTAAACATATCTTTGAAGATGGAAATGAAAGTAACACGACTGTATAAGCCTGTCAGTCCTTGTCATGCCCTCTTAATATATTCCATAGTACTAGAACAAAAACAACAGATTTGTATCCCCATTAATTCACTGTACTCAATGACTATGCCTAAAAAATTCACTCTCCAAACCAAAACAATAGCTTATTGGTTACCCCATGAACTAAAACGCCTGAATGTAGGTTAGCCTGTGTATCACATACTTGTCTAAATGTTTTGGTCAATTTAAGAATAACCGATTAACTAATGGTAGTTAGTATGTTTAAAGTAAAATGAATTCGGCAACATCACAATATAAAAATAGTGCCACCAATGATCACTCCCACAAAACTAGCACTGGTTTCTCAACAATTCAAACAAATCTGGATTCATGGTGCCTCTCTTGATGCACGGTGCTGGTACTCTCTCAGTGTGATCTACAGAGGAAGACTGTTCAATGATGAAAATATCCTTGCGCAATAAAAGTAATCCTTTGAAAGCCAAAATTCTAAGAGAAAAAAAAAGCAGTGATGGTCCCAAGTTATTCAATTATCTGAGTTTTGCCTATACCGATTTATTCGAACAGCACAATGTGCGATGTTTCATATTTCACTTATTTGACTCTCAACAACCCATAACCCAATTGACAAATAAGCTATAAACTACTGAAATTACTTGTACAGTCAATGTGTCAGGTGTAAACATACTCCCCTCAAACATCAAGTTCAGTCTCGTAAGTGTGTGTCCAGAGTTAACACTGTGTTGTTAGCAACAAACTATTTTCAGCACCTCAGGCACTGTTGTTGCACAAAAGAAAAAATGTCAGTAGTAATGAACAATTTATTCACGCTTGGAAAAAATTCAACCAACAGGAATGGAAATATTATTCTCTTCGCTTCTTGCCGCTATCTTTACTATCGTAGTCACGGGATGATCTGGCGTCATCCACTGACCGCTTCTGTCCCCTTTTGGCATCAGAGATGAAACTGTCCAAATTAAAAGGATCATCCTCCACATCTCTGGCAAACTGAACGGGCCCTTCTCGCCGCCTGTTTCTATCTGTTCCTTCGAAGCCTTTGTCTGGAACAAACCTGAATGATCAAACAGAAGAAGAAAACTGAATGAAACCCTTAAATTAGAAAAAGCAAATGTAAAAATATCAATGACATAGCAAACACCTCATGCTGCCAAAATATCAGGAAAAAAAAAAACAGATAGTGTCTAGATACTAAAAGACAGAAAACATGAAAGGACAATCACAGAACTAGTTTAGACACACGCATCACTCACCGCTTCTGTTTCATTAAAGCTTCCAGATCATCAGTGTCCAGCTCGTTGTCTAGAGCCTTTGACGGGCGATAGATTGACTTGGAGATGGAGCCTGCCTCACGCCAGGGTTTATCATAAACATTGTAGGCCTCATCGTCACCAAACCCGCTGCTCAGGCCCTGTCAGAGATATCAAACAATATTACTGGTGCTGTCACATCAATGTTCAATGTCAGGTCAGACCAGCTGTAAACCCTAGCTGTCACATCAATGTTAAATGTCAGGTCATACCTGCTGTAAACCCTAGCTGTCACATCAATATCCAATGTCAGGTCATACCAGCCGTAAACCCTAGCTGTCACATCAATATCCAATGTCAGGTCATACCTGCTATAAACCCTAGCTGTCACATCAATATCCAATGTCAGGTCATACCTGCTGTAAACCCTAGCTGTCACATCAATATCCAATGTCAGGTCATACCAGCTGTAAACCCTAGCTGTCACATCAATGTCCAATGTCAGGTCATACCAGCTATAAACCCTAGCTGTCACATCAATATCCAATGTCAGGTCATACCAGCTGTAAACCCTAGCTGTCACATCAATGTCCAATGTCAGGTCATACCAGCTGTAAACCCTAGCTGTAACATCAATATCCAATGTCAGGTCATACCAGCTGTAAACCCTAGCTGTCACATCAATATCCAATGTCAGGTCATACCAGCTGTAAACCCTAGCTGTAACATCAATATCCAATGTCAGGTCATACCTGCTGTAAACCCTAGCTGTCACATCAATGTCCAATGTCAGGTCATACCAGCTGTAAACCCTAGCAGAAAGTCCTGGTTGTTCACACACTTCTGGACAGCGACCTTGCTCTCTAGGACTTGAGTTTTGCATTCATATCCATTAACTCTTTGAGTCCCAAGGAACGCATCATACGTTCATAGGTTCCGACCTAGAAGCCCAAAGAACGCATGGTGCGCCGATTTTACGACTCTCTTTACTACCACATGGGCCTGTGATGCTAAACCCTCGGGGACTCAAAGAGTTAAACAGTTCTAGCGTATCTGTGGGCTAACTGGTGGTTCCTTGCCTCCTAGGCAGATGTACGCAGATTTTGAAGGAAATCATGATTCTATTCCCACTGATAAGGTCCCCAGCTGGGAACCTATCTGTAGGCTGGCCGTCGTGAGATGCAAATAGGTCCTGACCAGTATGAACCGCAGCCCTAGTGTATCATGTGTGGTTCGGTGCCATTGCATCCAAGGTAAAGCTATTAAATGTGAAGTATTCACTGGTTTTCTCAATGTGTTTTACAGTGCCAGCACCATTTCGTCACCTCTTAGTTCACTGAAATGTATGTTATAGTTCAGCTATGCTCCACATTTTATTCCATTCATCCTATGCAGACACTAGTTAAAAATCGTTTGTGGTTTATAAGTGACTGCTTTAGTCATTCTCTGTTTCATACCCACACAACACTACACATATTTTAAACTTTGTAACAGATTTACTTTCTTTTGGCTTCCATACTTTCTATTGTTAAGAAAGCCTCTCTTGCCTTTTGTATTATTTGTGTCAATCTCAGACCCATAAATGTTTCCCCATTTTTGTTTACATAGCTGCCTACCTACCTATGTGTATGATTCCACATCTTGAAGCCAGGTTTCCCTAAGGGAAATAAGGTTTAATTGCTTTATTTATTCACATCACTTCTGTCCCCCCCCCCCCCCCATTACCTACCTAATCGACGTGACCTCCGGTAAGGTGTTTTTAATTTATCTTGCATCTGATTTTGTGTTTGAAATTACACATTGATGCTAGCGGTCTTCGTAATCAGGTCTAAAGTCAGTAAATATAATAAACACACACAAAAAGCCAGAATAAAAACAACCTAATTAAAAAAAAAAAGCACAAAATATGCAGATTAACATCAAGTGTATGTTGAGGTGAGTTATGGAGCGACATCATAATACTTGGGACAGTTCCATAAGTGCTCTGTCCCATCTTCAGTGGCCAGGGCAATGTTCCAATTCTGATTGCATCGCAGCAGTCTGTATGTCCACTTGCCTTTTCCCGAAGTGTTGAGTGTCTGCCAGATCCCTGCTGCACTATTCTCTTCTGACAGTTATGATTTATTACTGTTTCCAGACTGTTCGCTATCTCCCAAAGGGCCTTGACAAAATCTAGCTTGTCATGGATCAATTTACAACCTCCTCGTGTGGGTTCTGGGGCCCTATAATTATAGGGAAAGCAAGAATAGACCAACTGCCCACACAAAAGCATGTTGTAAGAGTCGACTAATTTTGAAGCTTCCTTCCAAGTCCATCTGCCTGAGAGGCAAGAAACAAGCAGCAGGCATACAAATGAGTCAGATCTGTAAAACGGATGCACATGCAACACTCAGGTTCAGGAACCAGACTGAAGTCCAGAAGAGGATGAACAACCAGAACTTTCCACCAGTTTACAGCTGGTGAACCTGAAGAATAATAATAATTTATAACCAAGTGATGCAGAACCAGCCAGTCTGTCTGTCTATTTATTTCCCATCACACTTAAACCAGGGATAAAATAACCAAAGATATAATAAGGATATGTTAAACAGTCTGACCTGTGACTGATTGAAGAGACGCTGATCAAACTGAGTTTCTCTGTTTGCTGCATTTGTGTTGGGCAAGCCAAGAGCAATGGCCTCACTGATGTCCCGTTCCTTGTCCTTCTGAAGTCGATTCCTGGCAAAATTAAATACTATATTAGTTGTTTTGGTTTCAATTAAAAATACAATTCTTTCATTAAACCTTTTGCTGCTACGTAGTCTGCAGCGAACACCACCACTGTGCTAAGCAAGTTTCCCACTGATCCTTTCCTTTGTGACGAATACTTGTCTACCCTCCAAACACACAAGATTTATCAGCGGTGCTAGCTATATTTTGTACACCTAAAAATAATTACCCAGGGTGAAAGGTTGTTAGCTAAAAGATCTAAAATACACAATAAAAACAAGATGAATCAATGAAAGATCTAAAATATACAATAAAAACAAAATGAATAAATGAAAGATCTAAAATATACAATAAAAACAAGATGAAACATTGAAAGATCTAAAATATACAATAAAAGCAAGATGAATCAATGAAAGACCTAAAATATACAATAAAAACAAGATAATCAATGAAAGATCTAAAATATACAATAAAACAAGATGAATCAATGAAAGATCTAAAGTATACAATAAAAACAAGCTAAATCAAAGAAAGATCAAATACACAATGAAAACAAGATGAAACAATAAAAGATCACAAACAAAATAAAAACCTAACATCTAGAGTCAATATTTACCTCTTGTCAGGTGCAGCTCTGGCTATGTTTCTATCCCTCTGTCTCTCCTTGGCTCTGTCTTTTCTGATCTCATCACGTTCTTGAACAGAATCATCTGCTTCTGTGATAAGAAATTAATACTAGAGGGGCCAAGTATTGAGAAAACCTGATCATAAAATTAGTCTTTTAACCAGAGCCTACATGACCAAAGAAATGTAGGCAGACCAAGCCCTGAAAAAAGAAAATGGTGAGTAAAATGAGGCTAGCTGCCCGGTGGCAAAATCAATAGGATAAATGGGTGTCAGCTGGTTGGGGCCCTATGTTCCATTATGGAATTGAAAAAAAAACAAACAGAGGGGACAAGAACTAATAATACTTGTGTAACCCTTTTGATTCTAAAGTTATTTCAATTTTAAGTGAAAGTTACAGAACCACTAAAGATATGGGGCAAAAGTTAAATACATTCGAAACAAAATGTCTGAAGAAAATAGAATAGAATGAATTCAAAGGGAACTAAGAAATGAGACAAATGTCTGGGCAACCACTAGTATCAACAATTATGCCCGGCTCGCTGGCTCAGTTGGTTAAATCTGACAGCGCGGCGGCGATCGGGTGACAAACTCCTAGTGGTCTGGGTTCACACCCAGGGTTAGGCAGAAAAACTACATTTCTCCCAGATTTATGATATCTATCATAGAATCAAGGCCAAAGGGTTACTTTATCCATAGTACCGAGCCATAGGGTTAACAACTAATTATTTCTGGATATATAAAAAAAAAAAAAACCACTTATAAGACAGAGAAGATGGCGCTATACACACTGAGAAGAAACCAGCAGAGAATCACCAGACAGGCATCAAAATGGGAAATAGAAGGATAAGCAGGCGAGGAGGGCACCAAAAAGAAACCCTAAGGCGAACGCTGCTGAGTATTTTTTTCAGTTATTTGCTTTTGCAGTCAGCCCTTTGTACCACTGTCAAAATCAATGTAAAGTGGTCTGCTGCCAGATTGTCTGCAGCAGGACTCAAACCTGGTATCTCAGAATTACAAATTGTGTCTCACAACCCTCGAAACCACAAAAGCGGACAAAGGAAAGTAAACCTTAAACAAATGCAAGCAGATGACACACATACACCTCAGCTGGAGAGATGCATAAAAATGTCCGACAAACATGGAGCAGAGAAGACTCATTGTGTATGTTCTTTTTCTTCTCTTCTTTCTTGTACCTCAGTGAAGTGTCGGGAAAGGGGGTGATTTTATGTTCACTGATGGGCTCTGTCAAGAGCACTATTGAGACTGATGTTGATTTCTGTAAGGCTGTTCTTAATGCCATCACTTTTCCGAGGTCTTCCACTCGCTCTATACCTGCTGTAACGTTTTAGTGTGGCTCGCTGTGGTAGATAGTACCAGGACATTCTTGTTAGGTGTCCAAACCACTTCATTTGTTGCCCTTAGATGACCCGTAAGACTGGCTTTATTCCTAGCATATCTGTATGTTACTGATGCAAAAATATGAATGTTAACACTGATAAACACTCCCTGTCTGGATTCCCGAGAACCCCCACCCCCCCCAAACCCAAAAGACCCATTGCCCTCCTAAGAAGCATGTCATAAAAGCGACTAATCAGGGCTGTTTCCTTTAAAGTCAGAGTGCATCTGCCCAAGAGGCAAGGAACTAATATTCTGCATAAAAATAAGCCAGATCTGTATAACGGACATGCATGCAAAACTCATGCTCTAAAACAAGACTAAAATCCAGAAGTGGACACATTGAAACAAAATTTCAGTCAGAGTTTACAGCCGGCGAGTGCGAAGAAGATACTGATGAAAACCAACCTGCCACAACGTCTTCCCTGCGAATGCCAGCCCTTTCTTCCCTAGCTTTCTGGGCCATGTGTCTGAGTTCCTGCTCCTTCTTCTCCTTGATTGTCTTCAGTTTATTCTTTTCCAGTGTCACACGCATCTCTACAGCTTCACGAGCCTGAAATCAAGAACAAGTATTCATGACATATCATAAACCAAGGCCAACAGGCAGTTTTCAAGCCATAAAAAAATCTTTCAAAAAATATGGACAGACTAATATAGTGGATATTCCCTGTGTGGATCCTGGGAACCCAATGTAGGAAAGAGAAAGGATACAGACTCACTGCCCCCCACCCCCCTTTTCCCCCAAGCATATTGTAAGAGCCATCTAATTAGGAGTGTTTCCTTTGAAGTCAGAGTGCATCTGCCTGAGATGTAAGGAACCAACAGTCTGCATACAACTAAGCCAGATCTGTTAAACGGGTGTGCATGCAAAACTCAAGTTCTGGAACAAGACTAAAGTCCAGAAGTGGAAGAACAGCCAGAACTTTCCGCCGGAGTTTACAAAAGCTGAACATGAAGAAAACAAAAATATGGGAGCAAAAAATGTGTTAGCTGGGCAGAGATCTAACCAAGAATTTTTCAGGCAGACTCGTACGCTGCAATTTATGGTAATATTCCAATCAATTCATCCCAAGCAACAAAATGATGTCAGTAATTTCTTTCTTCTTACTTTACAGTTTGTGCCATGTGACATTGGTCTTCATGCCTGTCTGCAGCATTTTGTCTCAGGCACTGTCAATCATTTTTTTAAACAGATGTTCCTCCATGCCTTGATGCTAACCAAAACAAGAACTGATTTCTTCTTCAAATGTGTGTTGCAAAGCAATTATATTATTTCAACAAACAAACACATATTACTGAAGTATGAATTCATTCTCAAAACATTAAAATAGCTAAGAAATGTATCAAATGACCTAAAGCTATGATTAATACACTGTCTACTATATACATATGATGTCTCAATGTCTATGTCTGCTAAATTCATCTCAAAGTGGGATCTGGGGTTCCACTGGTTCCTAACAACCGATGTGCAAAAAAATTCTGCATGCACATGCATTTAAAAAACCTAGCTTATTTGTATGCAGACTGTTGGTTCCTGGCCTCTCAGGCAGATGCACTCCGACTTTGATAAAATACCCTTAAAGAGTCAGCTCTTAAAGAGTCCCCCCCCCCCCCCCCCAATATGGGGTCTCGAAACCCATACAGAGATCAGGCATTTGTGTGTGTGTTTTCGTATCCCTCAACGGAGTACAGGCCCTTAGCCAACCTGTTTGGTGAGAGGAGTGCTAGGGTTTGATTTTGTTTTTTCAAAGGGTGTCAAACTGACGACAACTCTCATTTAGCCATCTTTAATAATATACGCAGTAGGCAGGTGTTGGCGTTTTTCAAACATGTTAACAGAAAGAATGGAATCAAGAACTTGGTAACAACTGGCAACAAAGGGAAAGAGAACCAGGGAAAAGCAAAGAGATAAAATACTTAGATTGCTCGGACACGCTGATGGGATCGAGGCAAGAGCACTGACCAGATCTGTGTTCCCGTGAGATGACGAGACATGACCTTTTATGCTAATACAATGGTGACTGCTTAATTATGTCATGGATTACCTTTCTATCAGCTATGTACAAGGCTTCAGCAAGTTTAGCAAAGTTTTCGTTAATATGAACACCCTGTAGACCTCTTCCATCAGCAGCCAGACGCTTGTCCAAAGGAATAGTGTAACCCTGTTGAATAACAAAACAACACAATAGTACCATTTATGTAGGTGTGTTTTTACAAATAATCACAAAAGCAACCACCACTGCTGGGCAGCAAAAGTATAGATTAGCACCACACGTGTACTTGCACATTGTGTATTCTTACAGAAATTTTGTAAAGTGAACTTTCATCCACAAAACAAATTTAAGGGGTCCAGGTCACCATTTACAAAAACATCCCAACTGTAAAATACAATAATTCTTTTTTTTTTTTTTGCGGTTCTAAAAAAAAGTAAAGGACCCTTTTCCGCGCCTTTAGGCGTATAGGGCTAGACCTATATTTTTATAGACCAATCGGCACAAGATGGGTGATGTGGTCAGCATCACGCCGGCCACCTTTACTTCCCAGGACTGCATCCGGTACCCACTCAAGGCTAGGTCGACCTTGAAAATAGTCCGGCTCCGCCAGGGAGCGAACCCACGACCTTCCGATCCGCGGCGAGCGCCTAGTTTTGCGGTTCTAATTTTTATAAATACAAGTTCGTCAGTGGTCCTATTTGAAAAGCATAAGGTCCTTGACAGAGCTTAGGAAAATACGAGACACGCATGTCTCATGCATTAGTAGTCAGGTCATCTGTGCCCTTAATAAGGATTGCCTCTATCAGTAAGAGACTGGATAAAAGTCCCTGTCCCACCAAGTCACATCTCCATAGAGACTGTCGGAGAGCTATCCTCCTCCCATGGAAGCTCAAAAACCAGTAGATGCACACGCAAACTGTCATAATAAGCAGCAGCGACCGGATGTTTCCTCCTTATATTATAGGTATTTCATTATCAAGAGATGCCAACCCAAAGCCCACAGGGAAACTGTTATCTCAAAATGGTACATGTCATTAACTCTCAATAACAAAACATATTGTGCTTCAAAACAACGAACAAAAACAGCAATGAGATGTAAATCGTCACAATAAGAGTAAAAAGAAGACAAATATGTGGGTTGCTTTAACAGAGGAACAGTAAAAGATGTGGAAAATGAAAATAATGAAAACATATTAGCTGAAAGAAAAAGATACAGGAAGGTCTTATGCTAATGCTCCTGATGGATAGAAAAACAAATGAGGCAGACTTCTAAGATGGAAAAAAAAAAAAAAAAAAAAACCCACCATAAATACAAATTTTATAGACATGTTAATAGAAGAAATAAGATCTGAACATCAAGAAAGATTGGCTAATAAACAGCATCCTTTCTCGAAAGCTGAAATATTTTGGTCATATCAAGCGCCATGACGGATTGGAAAAAAATTATAGCAGAAGGCATCGTACCAGGAAGGAGGGGCAGGGGCCGACTGGCATAAAGATGGGCACAGGATATAGGTGACTCCTTAAATGAGAAAATGCATGAGGCAGGAGAACTGGCAAGAGACCGAGTTTCTTTCAGGCAGACTGTGATGAGAGCAAACGTTCTGCAAAGGACCTGCTACATGATGATGACTTTGTGACAACTGAAACTTTATAGAAGAGTAAGAGGAAAACAAAAATTCAAAAACAGGGAGGGACTTAAAAAGGACACAGAGAAGATAATCAGAAAAAAATGTGGATAACATGATATGGAAAGATCCGAAAGAGATAGCCACAGATAGGACAGCCTGGCTTAAGTTGATTAAAGATCAATGCTCCACTAGAAGAGAAATGCAGAATAAAACTAATCCTTAACTCACTCTGTTGTTTTTCCAGTTGGAAATGCATGGGGGAATCTTCCAGTCCTGCTGTTCTTTCACTGAAACCTGAAAAAAAATGTATTAATATTTAAAAACACTATACTATAGCGAATAAGATAAAAATGTATAGTGACCACGCATATTCCATCAATAACAGTTTGGAAAGAACAAAAATGAAAGTTAGGGTTCCTGAAAGAAGAGGAAGAGGCTGACCAGCCTGATTGTGGACATATGATATCAAGGACACCTTGGGCATGAAAGTTCATGAGGTAGGACATTTAACAGGACAATAAGTGGATGAGAGAGATGTTCTACACAGGAGCTGCTGCATGATGATAAATGACCATTCCTCAACAATTAAAGCGGGTAACATGCACTGATGTGCATACTACAGACCAAATGTTCAGGCATGTTGTAGAGGTTCTGAGCTCTCATCACAATGACTGTACACTACTGCTTGTAACCGAATCACTGTCCTTTGTGCCGTATGTACACATTGCAGACCTGATGTTCAGGCATGTTACAGAGATTTTGAGCTCTCACCACAAGGACAGTTAAATAACCACATACTATTTATTGTTTGTAACCGAATCATTGTCCTTTGTGCCATCTGCTGATGAAGGCTTTCGAGCTGCAACATTAATTCTGCAAATCAGGATTATGGTATTGTGAAGCTGACTAGTTCGATACTCACCTAACAGCCCAAAGGCCTTAGGTGCAAACATGCCTCAAGTATCCTTTTTAGAGAGCTGCAAAGCTTAGCAACTGGATGTTTGCCTGCTGGCATGAAGGTCTTTGGTTGAAATCCACAACCACGAGCATTTGTTTCCAAAACCGAAATTGGCTATGAAGCTGAACCAGCTTTAAGGAAGCAAAGGTGGTTGCTGTGACCACGTAACCCACCAGTGCCGACTGGTTCATAAAAATATTAACCTAGCATCACATGCCTGACTCTAAGTCTATCAAACAGTCTGGCATCTTTCTTTCTCGGTTTCTCCCATTTTTTATGCCTGTGTTATCGTGAAACTTTCAGGTTTACATTTCCCATATGTATCCAAAGAGTAAAGACAGTCTACCAGTACATGAACAAATATCTTAAAAGCCATCTCTATTAAATGTAAGGTTTTCAGCTGTCTTCACCACAGCTTCTGCATGTTTTACCAATCTGCTAAACATCGATAAATAGAAAGAAGACTGTAAACCAGCACACTTATATGTGAAGAAATCCAGGAGGATTCAACACATGCCTGAAGAAGTAGGTGAAAGTCAAAAGGCTCAAATACAGCAAACCACTACAGTGCAACAATGCACAAAACAAAATATTCTGTATGAACAAAAAACATTTAAGGATTAGTTTGGATAAGTATAAGGAGAGCATTGCAGATTACCTAATTTACAATAAGAAATACCCGGCTCTCTAGCGTAGTTGGCTAAACCGGATTCCGCGGAGACCAGGTGATGAACTCTTTGTGGTCCGGGTTCAATCCCGGGGGTAGGCAGGAAAGCCACATTTTCTCCCAGAGTTACGGTATTTACAATGGAATCAAGGCCGAAAGGTTGCGATATTCATAATACCGAGCCTAAGGGTTAACAACTCATGGCTTCTGGATACTAAAACAAACAACAAACAAACAATGAGAAATATATTCATAGTAATTTTCAGTTTCCTGAAAATAATAAAAATAGACAATAACATTAAGTGACCATCACTATTTACCTTTCTGTTTGGTGAATGCATGACTGGGGCTGGCGGTGAGGGGGGTCCCCTGGGAATTTTCTTGTTGACTCTAAAGAAATAACAAAAACATGACCATTCACATAAATTGTTTTCAAGGCCACCTGGTCAAGAATACTACTCTACAGGGTATTATTTTCGACACAAATCAAGTGTGTGTCTACTCAATGTTGTTTGATTTTACTGGGGTCGTTTTATTTTTGGTGTGTATCTAGTTTAGGTATGTATCTGTCTAGTCCGGCCAGGATAAAACTTTTACACATCAAATTACTACTTAACCGAGCCAACACCAAACTCATTCCCTTAAAAATGACACAACTCAAGTTCTGAAGAAAGACCAAAGTCCAGAAGTGGATGAACAACAAGAACTTTCTACTGGAGTTTACAGTCGGTGAAGACTAAGAAGAAAGAGTCACTTCACTAATGTCCTTAAGGTAGACTGTAGCATGTAGCAATGCTCAAGTTAACGGCATCAATATGTACACTCACTGCTTCCAAGAAAACAAGTAATTTATAATAAAGTCTCCTGTGTTCATTATCTGTGGTGTGAAATTACTTCATATGCTAGTCCCTAAGGACATCCTTTATAGTGAATAGCAGGTAAGTAGAATCTGTAGAGGTAGAGGCTGGCATATACTATGAAATAAGGATGTATGCAAGTAGGACATGTATTATACAAGTGTTCGCAGATAGAATTAGAAGAACAGGATGCCAAAGATCATGTTGTACAGAGGGGTGAATACACATATGGTGAAATTACTGATAATCCACAAGACTGCTTCGAGATACTAAGCTAAGTAATTCTGTGTATTTGTGTGGTACTGTTTGATTATGTATGTGCTGATGCAGGTTCCCATAGCCGCAACATTGACATTTTGTTTGTGTTTGTTATATTTTAAAGCTTGCGGATATACTTTTAGTTTGGTTTTATATCTTTCCTTGATAGCGTTACAGGGAGAACTCACTTGAATCTTGGTGGCTCCATGGGGTCTTTTTGTGCCTCCACCATGCGGATAATTCTTTGTTTAGCTCCTGAGTTAAATGCTACTCCTTGCTGAGAAGGCGTGTACCTGTATTAAAGAAATACTAACATGATCAACGCAAGGATTAAGTGGTATTCATACACAAACACAAGATGATAAATTTCATTGGAATAACAGTTTAAATTAACAGCCATCATGGGTTCCGATCCCGACTTTTCTTCAAAAATGACCTTTGCTGCTAGGCTGAATCAGTCTTAAATGGGTACCAGGGAAGTAAAGGTGGCTGGCATGATGCTGATTATATCACCCACTGAATAGGTCTAGCCCTATATACCCAATAGGCCTAAAGGAGTGGAAAAGGTCCATTACTTTTCATAAATTAACAACTGTTCTTGATTCCTTGACCAACAGAGGCTTCAACTGTTACAGTCACTCAGGTGAATCATTACCTGTTGGCAGATAAGCTAGAAATTGTGTGCATGTGGCAGAGATGTTATTTTAAGATAATCTTCTTCTTCGCGTTCACCAGCTGTAAACTCTGGCGGAAAGTTCTGGTTGTTTGTCCACTTCCGGACTGCAGTCCTGTTCCAGAACCTGAGTGTTGTGTGTGCATCTGTTTTACAGATCTGACTCATTTGTATGCAGACTGCCGGTTCCTTGCCTCAGGCAGATGCATCCCGACTTCGAAGGAATTTTATAGATAATAATAAGCATGAACAGACAAAAGGAATATTGAGATGTTTCGAGAAAAATTAGCCAAAAAAAAAAAAAAAAAAAAAAAAAAGACAGTTACAGGCATCAGAAAGAGCTAATCCACTTTCTGTGGACATGTGGAAAGGGAAAAATGTGACAACAGAAAATCAGAGAGGAAGAAAGGCGGAGAAGAAAAGAGGACATTAGCCTAGAATGGAGGATTACCCGTATCAAAAATGATTTACCACACACAAAACTTTCAAAAAATTAGATGGAAATAAAGTTGGTCAGTATGCTTCTATGGATGTTGGGATTAGTTGGGTGACTGGATATTGTCATCATCATCTTCTTTGGGTTCACTAGATGTAAACTCCGGCAGAAAATTCTGGTTGTCCATTAACCTCTGGACTTTTGTCTTGTTCCTGAATCTGAGTGTTGTGTGCACATGCATTATACACACCTAGCTTATTTGTATGCAGACTGTTGGTTCCTTGCCTATCAAGCAGGTGCACTGACTTCGAAGGAAACCCCCAATCAGTCGACTCTTCAGACATGCTTGTTGGAGTGGCAGTGGGTCTATTCTTGTTTTCTCCACACGGGGTCTCAAAACCCACAAGGAGAAGATGTGATGATGAACTGAAAGGTGATATCTTAAACGACTAACACAAATAACTATAAATGTGGGCTCCTGCAATGTTTTGATGCACACTTTACTGACAATAGATTATCTGTACTGGGAATGGAACAAGTGGCCAGGACAGGAACAGATCATTGTTGTCAGATAGTCACATTTTATGGCAACACAAGTTAGCATCGATGTGAGCATAACTACTTTTTTTTCCTGTGAGCATAACTAATGGCTAACTTTTGTCCTGTAATTACAATATACTGTTACAGTGTGATACAATGGGTCAGTGCTGCATACAGACTATCTCTCATACTCTTTTACTATTGTTAAGGCAACAGTTTTAGCCAGTTCACTGAAATTCTCTAATTTCTAGGAAGCTGGATTAACTGCTATTAACGGTACCCCCAAAACTAACAAATTCTGCCTTTGCTATGGAATTAACCTGAAATAGCCTTACCGGGCAAACCTCACTAACCACTTTGGAACCTATATTCTATTCTAATAGTTCCACTAGCAGTCTGACTGCACGTGTGTCTTGCCCTTTCTATGATGATAGAGTGTCCCCTGGTCACGCTCAGCTGCACCACTATCACCAGGCTGTAATGATCACAGTTTTTGCATTGTTCACTTTCTGCCAAAGAGGTATTCAACACATCTAGAAGAAACAAGAACAATCCCACACCAACAAATACTTATACCTAATATATTGAGCCGGCGCCTGTTTTTCTGCAAGCCTAACTGGCATGGCTGCACTAATTTTGTTAGTGATTAGTTTTTCTAAAGCCTGGCGTGTTTTCTCTGTGTTTTCCTCAATGACTGTCTCGTCAGGCTTTTGTAATGATGGGTCATCATCTTCAATTGGTTTAGGAAGCAGATCTTGCGGCCGAGAATGAATAATCTATAAATTAAAAACAAAAAGTCTTAGAAATATTTTTTAAAGAAAGTGGTCACATAAGTAAACCATAAAATGTCATTTCATACTTATATGCGAGAGGGTTCATAAACATTCACCAATACTTACTTATACATACACACTCTCATAAATATGTATACACATTCAAACACATATTTACACTTTTATTCATATACCAAAATACTCACATATATACATAAATAGTAGGCACAGAGAGCTTTCTAAATATAAGGAACAGAACATTCAAGAAACAAGGATGTGGATGTACGTGTGTAAACCAACATTTGAATGTATGTATACATTTTCAGTGTGGTGCAAAAGATAAATCTCATTAGAAACATACTGAGTGATATTTTAAGCTTTTCTTTTTTTCTTTCTTTTAATTTATGTATAGGAGGGGAAACAAAGAGAGGTAGTCAGACAGTCAGAGATAAAAGAGAAGAATGTTAAAGAAGCATTTCAAAGCCTCACTTTGTCTTTTCCGTGACCCTGGCGAACAATAGCATCATATTTGATCTTTCCCTCGGCATCCAGCTGAACAGCTAAGGCATTGGATGTGGTCTGTTTCTTGCCCATGCCCAACGGGTACTGGGCAATGTGAACCTCTGGAAAGGCACCCCCATCCCCAAAATCCTACAAAAAGAGAACATGAAACAACATCCAGTAATGCGTACATGAATACAATATGTGAAGTCTTTTCTTCTTCCTAACATCCAGTAATGCGTACATGAATATAATATGCGAAGTCTTTTCTTCTTCCTAACATCCAGTAATGCGTACATGAATACAATATGAAGTCTTTTCTTCTTCCTAACATCCAGTAATGCATACATGAATACAATATGCGAAGTCTTTTCTTCTTCCTAACATCCAGTAATGCGTACATGAATACAATATGCAAAGTCTTTTCTTCTTCCTAACATCCAGTAATGCGTACATGAATACAATATGTGAAGTCTTTTCTTCTTCCTAACATCCAGTAATGCGTACATGAATACAATATGCGAAGTCTTTTCTTCTTCCTAACATCCAGTAATGCGTACATGAATACAATATGTGAAGTCTTTTCTTCTTCTTAACATCCAGTAATGCATACATGAATACAATATGTGAAGTCTTTTCTTCTTCCTAACATCCAGTAATACGTATATGAATGCAATATGTGAAGTCTTTTCTTCTTCATTTATCACTCTGGGTATCAAGGGAGATATATGGTTCTGGTTGTCCAATCTTGTTCTTGGTTTACCTCTGGTTCAACCTTGTCATCAGGAGACATTTTATAGTAGCCAAATAATTTTAATCGCCCTCTTTGTATCTCTTCTGGTCACTCCCATAGCTTTCCTCAGACATTTCATTTTAGTCATCACTAAGTTCTTTATGTAAAGTCAATATAACATTTATTAAATATATTTATGCTTGTGCTCAAAAGAAATGACAATTAAAAACTATGTAGCAGCCAAATAAAATTATAACTGTTGGACACATGAATTAGTTGAGCTGAGTTAAACCTACAGCCCCCAGAAGGCCACATCTAGCCACTTCCAGTTGCAACACAGGCCCGCAAATGCCTATTAATTACCATTTCTGCAGTGATCCGTTCTCAAAAAGTGTAGCTAAACCTGCTGGTTAACTATGTGAGCCTGTGTATATGAGAATATGTTAACTAAATATAGCATTCAGAAGAGTTTTTTTGTCAATCCAAAACCGTTTTAAAGCCATATTGATTTAAACCTGTAAGCCTCAGTGATAAAGGTCACAGGATCATAGCATGAGTCACCCAATATAGTTATATATATATATATATATATATATATATATATATATATATATATATATATATATATATATATATATATATATATATATATATATATATAACTACTGAACCGATTGCTTTCAAATTTTCACACAACGTTGCCTCTGACTCAAGCGTTATTTGTTATCATAAAATCGCACAAACCACGAACGACGTAGCTCCAGCAACGGTCCAATCATTATTTGTTTTGTTGGCTGTCCAGATTTATTTTTAAGGAATTGGCCACCTTTGACTGTGCAACACCGACCTTCACATTCTTATTATATACTTTCATTTCTATTAAATGCTTGAGTATTCCGTAGCGTAGTTAGTTGTAAGCATTTCGCTTTTTTCACTCGGGTGATAGGGGTTTGATTCCCCACTGGGTGATATAATTTTTTTTTGGGTCCCCTAACTAGGTGGCTGCCTCGTTTTGTTGTGGTTTATAGCTAGGCTGCAGTATCTACGCTTTTCCCCCGTTCAATTTTGGGATTTACAGCTAGCCTGCGATAGCGGCGACGTGATGCTCACTGTTCATGTCACGGGTAATATTTGTTCGCCCTTGACAGGGCGGTTGGCACGTTGTGTTGTGTTTTACAGCTAGGCTGCGATATCTGACCTAAAGTCTTCAGTAGTAGAGTTTTAAGTATTCCACCCTTCACGTGTATAACGGGTGTTTGATTCCCCGCTGGGTGGTAATTTTTTCTTTTTACCTCAAAGGGGCGATTGGCACGTTGTGGTGTGGTTTAAAGCTAAGTTGCGACATCTGCGCCTTACGCCCTAAGAAATTCGATTTAAGTACAGTCCACATTAGCCTCTCCCCCCCCTGACGCTTCACTCGATCAAAAACTATTCGTTAATGACAGGCACTGTTAACTAAAAAGGCCTACGGTCCAGTTTGGTTTGGGTCGACACGGATGCCAAGGTTAATTACACATCGTCACTTCGGAAAGGGAGAGATGATGAGTGCGGGTTTTTATTTCCGCTATTTGTGAGTATAGTGTACATTTTTTTTATATCACAGAATTTTACTGTGGGTTCCATCATTGCAAAGGTGATGGAGTTTTACGTCTTCTTTCCGCTCGATTTGGGGGTTTACAGCTTGCCTGCGATAGCGGCGACGAGATGATGGTCATGTCACGGGTAATCTTCGTTTGCCTTTGAGAGGGCGGCTGGAACGTTGTGTTGTGGTTTACAGCTAGGCTGCGATATCGGACCCAATCTCTTTAGTCTTAGGTAGTATATTTGTACTTATTCTGCCCTTCACGTGGTTGACCGGTGTTCAATTACCCACTGGGTGCTAATTTTTCTTTTTCCCTCAATAGGGCTGTTGACATGTTGTGATGTGATTTACAGCTAGGCTGAGATATCTGTACCTTTCGCCCAAAGACATCTGATTTCAGTAAAGTCCCATTTATCCTCCTCGCGACGCTTCACTCGATAATAAACTATTAGTAGATGACAGAAGCTGTTAACTAAGACTGCTTACAGTCCAGTTTACTTTGGGTGGACACGGATGCCAAGGTCATTTAACATTGGTCCCTTCGGAGAGGGGGAGATGACGGGTAGGGGCTTTTATTTCCGCTATTTGTGAGTATAGAACGGACTATTACTGTGGTTTTTTTTTTAAATCTTTGTCTCTGGGTGGACAAGGCTGCACAGCTCAGTTCATTTACAATATTTCGCCAGATGATGACTTTCCCATCCTTCGGCGAGGATGATATAATTAGTGGGGGGGAGGGGGCGGGGGTTGATAGCAGACACTGTTAACTGAGAGACCCTAGAACATAATTTTAAAGTTATAATTTCTTAACTATTGCTATTTTAATAATTTCGCCAAGTGATGATTTGTCAATCCTTCGGAGAGGGAGATATGACTGGGTGGAGGGGAGAGGGACGGGGGTTGAGGGTTATGACAGACACTGTTAGTTGAGAGCTACTTTCTTTCTTTTCCATTTCACCATTCGGGACCACAGCAACGCGTGGCAGGGCACAGCTAGTGTATATATATATATATATACACTGCTCGTCAAGGGCCACCCTATTATGGTTAATACAGTTATTTTATTAGTGTACACAAAGATTAAATGAAGAAAGTCTTTGGTAAAAATGGGTACAATATCTTCTTATACAAGTCCTTTAAGTATGTGAAGCATGAAAATAACTAACCGACAACATGGTTATTACAAGTGATTAGGTTTGCTAACCTTATCACATTTCAAAATGGTTTTTTTCCAAACTTCCGTACAACCAAACAGATAAAGTAATCGTGTGGACACATTTCATATGCAACAGCGTCTGTTTGTGAAAAGAGTTCGCTCTTAATTTGTTTAACAATCAGATTTAGGGAAAGAGAAGGCCAACTAGAGAAATAAATGGAGCCGGGTGATATCTGCAGCAATGAACCTCAAGGGCTCAGAATGCTGAAGAAGACTGGGTTGTTTCATCTATGGCAAAATTGTACCTTCAAGAAGAAAAGAAGTTTGACGCCTTACAAAGAATGAGGGCTACAGCATGGGTTGAAAGTGGTTTATCTATCTGTAAAGTTGCTATACAGATTGCAGTTTTACACTCTACTATCCAGTTAATTCTTGAGAGATTTCAGGCCACAGAATTTGCGGAGGATCAGCACCAGCTGTGTCGCCACAGATGCACCTTTAGACATGATGACCGGAACCTCTTGTTGTCAAACCTGTGCCATTGAACACTGACTTCTTTCACTTTAAGATGTCAGTTGAGACAAACTGTAAACATTAATGTCAGCAGAAAAACATACAGATAAAATTACAAGATGTGAGGTGAGATGTATAAGAAATAAGGCTGTGAAAAACAAGAAAAGACAAAGTCATCGACAAAGAACAATGTAGTGGTAAATGATTTTATAGAACATCAAAGAATCAAATGGTTTCATCAGAATGGAACAAAATCAGCCAGCATCTAGATTTACTCCATGAGAGCAGCAGAATACAAGTCAGGAGGCAGACCAAGAAAGAGGGGAAAGGGGTGGGGGGGGGGGGGATGTAAAGAGACTAGAGAATTGAAACTGACACTAACACAAGCTACGCAACAAACAGGAAACCATATCTAATTCCTCTGTGACACTTTACGGCATAAGCAGTAGAACAAAATAAGAATAACAAGACATGAAGAACTTCTACCTCCTGGGATCTTGGGACCCATCCTCTTCTGTGACCATAAGGTGGGGCTGAGTAGCTGCTTGTGATAGGCGCCACCTGTAACATTATAAACAGTCTCAAGTAAACTAAGAGCCTGTAAAGTTAATATGTTGATAAACAGTTGCTTCAAGAACTGAGGTGCATTGTCTTTACATTTAATAAGCTACAACATAAGATGGTGTGACCAGTTTACTTCCTTGTCACTTTCTATTCACAAGCAATTTCCCTTAGTAGCCTACTTCTTCTTCATGTTGACCAGCTGTAAACTCTGACAGAAAGTCCTGGTTGTTCATCAACTTCTGGACTACCATCTTGTTCCATGACTTGGGTTTTGCATGCAAACCTGTTTTACACATGTGAAATACTTATGTGAAGACTGCTGTTTCCCAATCTCTCAGGCAGATACACTTTGACGGAAATGACCCTATTTATGCTCACCAGGCTGCCGGCTGGGAACCTATTTCCAGGATAACTGCAGGGAGGTGGAGGCAGGTCTTGACCAGTACTAGCCCTGGTCCTGGTGCAGCACTATGTATCGTTCAGCATCTCTGCATCCCGAAAAGCTCACAAGTTTATGAAGTTGTATTGACCTAAGTCACTGCATTCTTTTCAAATAATGTTGTTGTCACTTTCCCATCTTAGTTGTTAGTTGCCAGATTATCCTCACTGCCCATCCAACCATTCAATCCATAAGTGCTAGGATCCCCTATTTAGTCAATCCCACAGCGTATAGCGGCTCATGACACCAGTTCTGATTTGGTTTTGTATCAAATCTCCCTTTCCATTTTTCCAGAAGACACTGTTCTATTGTGGGTGGGGAGGGATAGGAATCAAAGCCTATAGCAATGACAACTGTGACTAGCAAGACCCTCCTGCATTAAAGGTCTTCCACAGTTAGAGTATGAGATTTCAGGACCACTGTTGGGTTTGCATGTATTTATTTACTGTGCGTCTTCTTAGACGGCCAACTCTAAACCTATCTGCAATCAATTTTGTGTCCTTATTCTCATGTCCTTTATGATTCTCCCCCACTTCCCCTCCAGACAAAATGGTCCATGGCTTTTTGTTCCCACAAATCTACCTCAATACCTGTATCATTCATGCCCCGCTTGCATACATCTTTAACCCATGTGTAATTCACCATAGAGGATGTCTTTAGGGACTGCACCATCCTCAATTCTCCAAGTGCGACTCAGTCAACTGAGCCTCTGGAAACTGTAACCCAAACAACTAGACAAAAGCACGATTCACAATTTTCCCTCTGCAAGTATTGAGAAAGCTGTTGTGATATACATTCTTTTAAACATTTCAGGGTTTGTGATCTTGTTTTGCCACTAAATTACCAGAATTCTTCTCAGGCATCGCATGCGAAAGCTATTTAACCATTTCCCCTGGTGTGAATGTGCTGACCAGGTTTCAATGCCATCAAGAAGAATGCTGATAACACACGCCTGATAGACAAGAACAATCATGAGCGATGTAAAATGGTCAACTGCATCCAGCTTATCCCACTTCTCTCAACACAATGTCATAAACGACGAATAATAAACGGTTTCCTGAGATCTGATGTGTTGGGCCAAAAAGTGAGGGTATCACAGCCTGTAAACAATAATACATGCTGTCTTTTTTGGGTGGTTGGGGGGGCACATGCAGAAAAAGAAGAAAGCCAATAAAAATGTTATTACACACCTGCATCTGAGATCTGAAGTGTCTTTCATCATCATCTCTGTCAAATCGTTGAACCGGCGCAGGTAATATGCTGCAATAAAGAGAACAAGAAATCTAGGGACGTCTTGTTATTCAAGCCAACGCAATGCCATTATCAAACTGGCTGAGGTTTAAGTGACAGCAATGCTGGATATCTCAATAATTCTGCCTGGCAAGTGTGCTGGAAATGCCCTATGTGCCTTTGATACAACAACAAAAAACGGCATGCAGAAGTACTAGAGGTCATGATGGTCAAGATTTGTTGATACCTCACTGTGGTCATCCTAGAAACTAGGTTCAAAACAAAGGGCCTGGCCAACATAGATAGGATAACTGTTTCCTTTAAGGTCGGGTTGCATATGCCTTAGAAGTGAGGCACCAACAGTACGCATACAAATATGCCAGACCTGTGAAACAGATGTGCATGTAAAACTCAAGACCAGAAGTAGACGAGCAGTCAAGACTTTCTACTAGAGTTTACAGCAGGTGAACATGAAGAAGTCACATAACCAAGAAGTTTGTGCATATAACTGCATCCTCATTATACCCGTTATCAACAGGTAACTTCCATCTTCTTCTTAAAGTTCACCCGCTGTAAACTCCAGTGGAAAGTTCTGGTTGTTTATCCACTTTTAAGATGAACATCCATTTTACAGAACTGGCTTATTTATATGCAGACTACTGGTTCCTCGCCTCTCAGGCAGATGATTATGTCTCTGAAGGAAATGCCCCCAATTCTTCTTCTTCTGCCTTTCTAACCACAATGAAGCATAGGCCCTCAACCAACTTACACCAAGTTTTCTATCCTTCATTATCGCAGGCAGCTCTCTCCATGTCCTCCCTTCTTTTTAACTTCACTCTCTAGTTCCCTTCCCCATGTGTTTTTTGTTCTTCCTTTATTTCTATGCCTCTTGTGGGTTCCAATGCAGCTTCTGCATCTCCTGCAGCTTTGCTCGTGAGTCCTAGCCATCTTATTTAGCCCCAATCCACGCTGCGTGAGCGGCGTGTGGGATACTTCTCAGCGGTGGCTGTAGTTGCCGGAAAACTGCACAGGTCACAGGAAGTGCGCAATTGACACGTGACTGATGCCCTGTTTTTGGCCGCCACCTTTTGTGCCCGTTATTCGGAGGATAGCCGCTCTTTTATTTCCATCGACGCCTGCGTGTCCCGGAACAAAAATAATAGTGACTCCATGCACAGTGGACTTCTGTAATGATTCAAGCCATTGTCTTTGCACCGAACCTGCCTGAACTCTCTGGATCATACTCATTGAATCACTGAGTATATATACGCGGGTGTAGTTTTGTGTTTTGAGCCAGGCAAACGCTTGCATCACTGCCATCACCTCCATCGTCATGCTGCTGGTTGTCATGTAGAAGGCGCAGTTGGCTTCTTTGACTGTTCTGCCCGCTGAGCGTGCTGTGAATGACCATGACCATGCACTTCTTTTCTGGCATAAAACGGATCCGTCTGTGTAGATTATTGAATCTGCTTCGTCTGAATTTTCACTGAGAGCGTTGACTTGTGCATTAACAGCAACAGGATTCTTTTCTCTACATCGCCTGTTGAGCGTGGCAATACAGGAAAATGTACCAATATATGCATGAGGCACAGGTACCCACTCTGCACCAGGGGTGATGTCGGTTAGGCTGCATATTTGAATTTGCTTTATAACATTTTCTGCCGGACCTAGCCATGATTTTCCCTTCTTCTCAAGAATTATGGTTGTTTATGAATAACGCCACGAGACAGGTCCTAAACAAGGTACCCTTCTGCCTGCTGCTGATGTCAAGACTACTAAAGAAAAAAAAACACGTAAAACTAAAACTTCATTCGTGTATAGAAATGAGAACAGACGGCTGGTCACTCACACAATTTCGCCTGTAAATCAATCACCTTCAACCACAGGCAATCGTATAACCAATAATATAACACCTAATTGGTCACAAAATGTTATACACGGAAGTTTAATGTACTATACGGATTATGAATGTTCGGAATCGGCAGTTACTGAAAAGAAATCACATCGAAACTTCAACAGAAACAAGCCTCACCTCGATAGAGAAGCCATATTTACTAGTTGTCTAAAGTCTGCCGCCAGGTGTCTCTTTCGTTGGTCTGCTTATTTTGCATGCCATTTGGGTTTTAAACTTACTATTTTGTTATCAGTTAAAATACTGGTAGCAATTTTTTTTAACTTTACTGGAAACATGTTAAAAAAATATAAACATTTTTCCAAAGATTTTGCATTAGCGTCGATGATCAACAGAAATGACAAATAATCAAATAATAGCTCGCGGTAAAACATGAAAGAGAATGGCAAAGAGTGACTGGCAATGACTGTTAAAGCTTCTGCTACCACTTTCATCATCATCATCAGGTGCCTTTGCGCACTGACTTTTAAAATAATTGCTTCTTCCTTTTTAGCCACCCCAAGGAAAAAAAAAACATCAGTTTTTGTCCGCTTAGTCTGTCTAATTTTTAGAGAAAGAGATCAAAATTGTGAAATTATAACAGCTACGAGTGTTAGATATCTCACAGCAAGCCATAGTTCAAAGACAAATGACACGCACATAGTTGCTAGTGCCCTTCAGACCCTTTCAGCAGGCATTGCAGGTGTGTTCATGAAGTCGGGGCTTGAGGTCCTGGGGCCTCTTTAGCCTCCTTCCCAAAAAAATTTTGAAGGTGTGTAAGTGATGCCTATCCATGTATAAAAATGTAAGTGGTCCCCTATCCATGTATAAAGTGTAACTGATCCCCTATCCATGTATAAAAGTGTAACTGATCCCCTATCCATGTATAAAAGTGTAAGTGGTCCAATATCCATGTATAAAGTGTAATTGATCCCCTATCCATGTATAAAAGTGTAAGTGGTCCAATATCCATGTATACAAGTGTAACTGATCCCTATCCATGTATAAAAGTGTAACTGATCCCCTATCAATGTATAAAAGTGTAACTGATCCCCTATCCATGTATAAAAGTGTAACTGATCCCCTATCCATGTACAAAGTGTAAGTGGTCCCCTATCCATGTATAAAAGTGTAACTGATCCCCTATCCCTGTATAAAAGTGTAACTGATCCCCTATCCCTGTATAAAAGTGTAACTGATTCCCTATCCATGAACAAAGTGTAAGTGGTCCCCTATCCATGTATAAAAGTGTAACTGATTCCCTATTCATGTACAAAAGTGTAAGTGGTCCCCTATCCACGTATAAAAGTGTAACTGATCGTCTATCCATGTATAAAAGTGTAACTGATCCCCTATCCATGTATAAAAGTTTAAGTGGTCCCCTATCCACGTATAAAAGTGTAAGTGGTCCCCTATCCATGTATAAAGTGTAAGTGGTCCCTTATCCATGTATAAAAGTGTAACTGATCCCCTATCCATGAATAAAAGTGTAAGTGGTCCCCTATCCATGTATAAAAGTGTAACTGATCCTCTATCCATGTATAAAAGTGTAACTGATCCCCTATTCAAGTATAAAAGTGTAAGTGGTCCCCTATCCATGCATAAAAGTGTAACTGATCCCCTATCCATGTATAAAAGTGTAACTGATCACCTATCCATGCATAAAAGTGTAACTGATCCCCTATCCATGTAAAAAAGTGTAACTGATCCCCTATCCAGGTATAAAAGTGTAAGTGGTCCCCTATCCATGTATAAAAGAGTAAGTGGTCCAATATCCACGTATAAAGTGTCACTGATCACCTATCAATATATAAAAATGTAAGTGATCCCCTATCTGTGTATAAAAGTGTAATTAGTCTCCTATCTATGTATAAAAGTGTAAATGATTGATTCCCAATCCATGTATAAAAGTGAAACTGATCCCGTATCCATGTAAAAAAGTCCAAGTGGCTCCCTATGCATGTAGAAAAATTATCCTGTCAGGTATTCGTTTTGCGTATTTCATATTATTATTTCAGTTTTCTTCTTCTTTGTCGTCTCACTGACAACCAGGTTGTAGCTCTGTGCTATTGTTTTCTGTGTTTGTCTAGCGTTTCAGCTACCCTATTTATCCGTCTCTTTCTTTGTCTTCTCTTTGCCTTCCTCCCCAATGATATGCTGTAGAAAAAAATCTTATATGCGGTCTAGTCTTTCTGCATAAGTAAAGGACCCTTGTCCACGCCTGGTATGTGACAGCATTTACATTATGTAATCTGACTACTATCTCTCTATTTAGTCTGCCATCTTCTGTAAATATGCTTCCCAGATATTTAAATCCTAGTACTTGTTTTATTGTAAGTAAAGGACCCTTGTCCACACATTTAGGCGTATAGGGCATATAGGGCTAGACCTAAATTTTTATAGACCAACGGCACAAGATGGGTGATGTGGTTAGCGACTAGCCGCTCTGCCACTGTTCGATTGTAGTACCATTAAAATGAACGCGCGGGTCATTATGTTTCGTGCCTATCCTCGTAACCTCAGTTTTTGCCGTGTTTACTTTCATATCATACTTTGTGCAGGTGTGAAACAAAGAGTCAATGTAGTTTTGTAAAAGCTGTTCTTGCGGAGATCATACTTTGTGCAGGTTTGATACAAAGAGTCAATGTAGTTTTGTAAAAGCTGTTCTTGCGGTCTATTAGACACTGATCGTCTAGAGAAAAAAAAAAACAGTTTATTGATTTCTTTAGTCTTTATTTGTCTCTGCGTCATTCTATCGATGTGAGTAATGAAGAGCAGTGGTGAGAAGACACATCCCTGTCTGTCGACTGATGAGGTGGAGAATCATTCTCTCATTCCTTCTCTTGTTCTTACTGTGCACTGATTATCTTGATAAAGAGACAAGATGATACCCAACAGCTGATCTTGAATTCCATAGTTTTTCTAGAAGTTTGCCAATTTTGCATCTATTAACTCTATTGTTTACCGCTAGTATTAAATTTAGCGGTTGCGTTTCTGAATGGTCACATGAATCTCTCCCATAGTGTTCTGCACGCTCTAAATATTCCATTAAAATCCCTCAATATCCACGTGTCAGTATAACTTTACTGATGGTTTGATGTAATTTGTCAAAGAATTATATTCCTTTCTTAAACTTGTATGTATCATTAAATGTGACGAGTTCTTGGGTGTATGGTAATCTATTCCTGCCCAGTACTAGTCTGATGCTCATAATCTTTTCTGATATGTAGTTTGTTTCTAGTATACATTTTGCTGTTTCCGGGGCAATGATGAAACCTACTCTTATTTAGTTTGGTGCCTCTCAATAAAAGAGTGTAAATGATTTTTTTAAACCGTGTCGCCTTCTTTTTGTAATATCCACTTTCCCCATGATTTTAATTCTATTTTTAACCATTTTTCTACAAGTTCCAACTCTGTGGCTCCCATTCTATGATGTTCCAAGTAGCCATCTCAAATGTTGTTCTACCGCGGTGTAATTTAACGTTACCAGTCTGATATTCACAAGAGTCTGTCCTATAAATAATTATTTCTTGTGTAGTAAGTGAAGACAACATCTCACAGTCTCTGTCTGGCAGAGGACGGGAATGGAACAAAGTCGGAAAGAAAACTGCTGACGGAGAAGTCTGGCGATCTCTCTAGCAAACTTCTACACCCCGGGGTGCAAGAGGAGCGTCTAATTAAGTAATGTGTTTAGTAAATGAACCCTTTACCACGCCCTCACGCGCTTATTATGCATATAGGGATAAGTTTATATTTTATAAACCGATCTGCACTTGGTGGGTGATGTGGTCAGCATCACGCCGACCGCCGTTACTTCCCATGACTTTACTTGGTACCCATTTAAAACTGCCCTGAGCCCGGCTCTCTAGCGTAGTTGGCTAAGCCAGATCGCGCGGTGACCGGGTGACGAACCCCTTGTGGTCCGGGTTCACTCCCGGGGGTAGGCAGAAAAGCCACATTTCTCCCAGATTTACGGTATTTACAATGGAATCAAGGCCGAAAGGTATCCATAATACCGAGCCTAAGGGTTAACAACTCATGGCTTCTAGATACTCAAACAAACAAACCTGCGTTGACATGAGAGCCGATGACCCTTCTGTACAGTCCGGCTCCGTCAGGACGTGAACCCACGACCTTGCTATCCGCAGGTGATGATCCAGACATTACATCAGGGAGCTCTCTTTCTTGTGTAGTAGCGGCTGATTATACCACTTCCAGCTTGATAGGAAGTAGGGGAGGGGGTTGACTGGCTGGTGCCCCTCTCCTTCCGAGGGAAGGGATTTGCCCTGTTAGCCTGAAACCTAATGGCTTCAGTGTTCTAGCGTGCACCACAGAGGTGGAGGCGGTGCCAAGTCAACACATTGGCACGTAGGGCACTTACCCGGAGCCCCACAAGCCTAGGGGCTCCAAACTGATATGTGAATGTCAAGTGACTTGCAATATAAAAAGTTCGTTTAGGAATTTCAGACCGTGCCGTCTAATCCGCACGTTTTGTTAAAGTGCCAGTAAAATAAATATGTTTAATATTATTGCCCATTTACATTTCATCCCCGTGAGTGGTTGTCGTAGGGCCCCAGCACACTGGTTTGTCCAGGGGCCCATTATACCATTATCAGGGCCTTAGGCGGAGGTTAACCTGGGTGTTCAACGGATCGTTGGCTACCTAACTTTAAGAGCTAAGGTCACGTATAAGGGGGGGGGGAACCCCGCTCCATCTGGATTTGAACCCACGACCTTTGGCATATGTTTAGCCGCTACACCACGGCGGCTCCTTCTCTGCCATACAGTCATCCTAAAAAACGTCAATACTCTTTTATACTAAGGCTGGTTGTATTTCAGACGTCTGGTGTCTATAGTTTGTTGTGACTGGTAAACCGAAACAGCCCGCCTTTCACTGTTGGCCAGAAGCGGCAGTGACATGGTACAACCAAATAGCGACTTAACCCACCAAGAGACGAAAACATTAATTCAGTCTAGTATCCAAGAAAGGTGGCTGGATACACAAAAAAGATTTTCTCCCCAAGACTCGCTTCATAGCCTCTCTAGAGAGGGACAGTGTATTATATTCAGACTAAGTACTGGGCACAACAGACTTCGTCAACATATGTTCAAATTTGTCGGTGTAGGAAACACAGAGACGTGTCCTTGTAGCGTGGCA